ATTCACAAGCAAACGAAGGGTTCCGAAAACGTCAAATTTTTATATGATAAGTAGTTCAGTGACAAATGTCTATGATTATATATATATATATATATATATATATATATATATATATATATATATATATATATATATATATATAAGCATAAGCAGTGTGGGCAGAGAAATCGACACTAAAAATCGACGATCTGTTTCACTCACTATCCACACTGTTTACATACAGTCTCTCTGGGATATTGACCACTTTTTTACTTACAAATATAGCATAACTTTAAACTATATTTCATCATATATATATATATATATATATATATATCGAGAGAGAGAGAGAGAGAGAGAGAGAGAGAGAGAGAGATAGAAGGCGAGGGAAAAAGCGTGTTTGTGTATGTAAGAAGTAGACAGAAGTTGATAGATCACCACAAATATATAAGGATGCATGCCTACACACACACACACACACACACACACACACACACACACACACATATATATATATATATATATATATATATATTATCATCACCGGAAGCACGCCTGGAAGTTTCATGTACAATGCATGCAAAACTTCAAGTGTTGATTGATACTAGCCGTTATATGAAAAGATGTATATTAATATATAATTTATAGCCCTGTTACATTACATCAGGACTCAATATATATATATATATATATATATATATATATATATATATATATATATATATATATATATATCGGAGAGCCGAGTTCGAATTCCAGTCGAATACATTACATTGAAGTACGTGCTAATACAATTGGGAAAGGTATGCATCCTCTTTATATCCCCCAGCTCTGGGTAAATAGTAGGGCAGACTGGGTTCTATAGCCTTGGATGGCAGCTGGTCTAGGGGAAGGACAACTCTGAATGAAGTGAATGTCCTAATTATTACAAAATAGCTATTATACGAAATTTAATAAACCGTGCAAAAACAAACTCTTTAACACGAAAGATTTTCTATGGTGAATTAAAAAAATATATTAAACAAACAATATTAAAAAAATATTAAAGACACCCTCATTAATAAAGACTTTCCTAATTGATGAACAAATTAGATTAGCTATTAGGAATATTATCATGAATAAAAATGAACATAATATGTTCTCAAATAAATCTAAACATCAAATTACTCTATTGTAATCAAATGCATTATAAACAGGAAGAAAAAATTTTGAAATGACTCATAAATACTAATATATCTCCCACTGGTCTAAGTAAAAAATAAAATTAATCATATACTATACTAAATTTAATACAACCAACTTAGTTATCCAAAACAACTCTTTTCTGGCCACTAGAGTCGTACAAAAGACCAACATCGTATTAATATATTTATTTTTATAAATGTAAAAGCCTTAACTATTATATATATATATATATATATATATATATATATATATATATATATATATATATATAGATAGATAGATAGATAGATAGATAGATAGTATCTCCTGGCGATAACATGATTCAGAAAATAATCGCCAGGTTTAAAAGAACTGGATCAGTCGTAAGCGCACAGTGCGCACTGACGCCCCGGTGGAAGCTGGACGGCAGAGCGTCTTTGAGGATCCATCAACCGTCGTCGCTCTTCTCAACTAGGCATCGCAAGAACATCGTGTATCAAAAAGTGTGGATGGTCCTGCACGAAGCCTTCACCACTATAATCAAATCTCATGTGCCGGTGTCGGGCTGTCGGTTTCCTGGAAATTGATCTGCTTGACTCTCATACGTCGAATCTCGACGGGAGAGTCGACTATATATATATATATATATATATATATATATATACATACATATATGTTTGTTAGCCAACCTTTCCCTGACGATCCGTTTAGGTGAAACGTAAGTAGGTTTGTCTGGCTCACTAGGTGTATCTAGGTTTGCTCTACGATTGTATTGAGCTCTTTTGTTAGTTAGTTGTTACTCGTATCGGGGTTTTTTTTGGGCTTCAGACCTGCATCTGTGCGATTTTTTTGTCGGCAGAAGTTTATGTTTGTAGCTCTTTCTTTTTTTAAAACCTTTTTTTCCCTCGAAATTGATTTGATTAACAAATCAAAAATTCGAGGGTTTTTCGAAACGAGTCTAGTTATTTATATTTATATGTATATATACATACATATATAGTTTATGCAAATTTAGGTAATCTGTATGGGTAGACCTGAGGAGGATGATATCCAGAGAGCTCAATGTAAAATTCAGAGCAGATATGTTTGAATAAAAAACAGACCACGTTAAGATTCCATGTAATAAGCTATTTCACCATAACCCCTTTAACAGGGTTCTGGATCATCAGACTTTACTTCCAAAAGCTGAAATGAAAAATGAAAAGAAATTCACACGTTTTTTACGGACTTCATCAAGTATACGCAAAGTTAACTAAGTGAGGTGGGTGAGAGGATATGAGTATGTCATATGTATCATTTTAGTTTCCTATTTTAACACCAGTGTGTCGGCTGGATGTTGCTCAAATTTAACGCGTCTCGTCTCTAGATAAAGGTGGTTAAGGGGTGAGCGATAAGAACTACATTAAAGGGAGATGTTACAATAACCCCAATCAATTACACGACAGGTTTCATTCAAATTCTTAGACTCTGTCAGTTCGCGTTACTTTAACGTGCATATTTGGGAGGTTATGGTTTGATAAATATCTAAATTTTCAAACAATCTACGAAGAAATTAATTTGAAATTCGGTGGAGTTTTGGTTATTTTTTATGAAGCAGTCGATTGGAAAATCCATAGACAGAACATTGGAAGAGTAATCCAATTTATATTTAGTAGTTATTTCCACTAAAATGCCGGCACAAAAACAACCTAAACCTAAGCAAGTACACTAAGAAATAATCATATATGAACAGCAATTTTGAATGTTTTATATTCCCTTTGTTTTTAGAAATATTACTATGCACACGTGAACGCTAACACATGACTATATGTATACAACTATGATAATGTATTTGCACACTGAGACACATGTTGATATGTACATGTATATGTTTTTATACGGAAAAAGAAGCATACCGGTTGTTTTTTTTTTTGTTTTTTTTTGTGAGTG